TTTCAACTTCATTTTCGAGACATGTAAATACAGCTGTCGGTCAAAACGCTGCTTTTCTTTTCTCTTCCTCCGCTGCAAGAGGATAGATACAATCGCGTCTATTTTTCCTGGTGGTGGAAAAGTAAAAAAAAAATAAGAGCTGTGATTTATGAATATTGCCTTTTCGCCGTAAGGTGTGTCTCTCTCTTTCTCGGGCGTCGATTTTTCCCTCGCCCGCAAAACAGTTTCGCCCTATCGGCCATCTCGAAATTATCCCGCCACGGTGCCACACAGGAGCCTCTCTCTCTTTTCCAAAGCTTCCGTGAGTATGAAGAATTTATGACGTGTTTCGCGTGAAATCAACCTCGAAGCGCGACGACGGGAAAATTTTTCCCACCCCCTCCTGACGTAACTCGTCGATTCTAGTTTACTTAGGGTGTACAAACTTCACACGTGTCTCATTTATCAGGATGGGTCGTTTAAAATGATAGCGTGGGAGCAAAAATAAGTTTCAATCGAATTCCTTTGGGGCGGATGGTCTCCCCTTCCTTTGGTGCGTTTGAATTTTTACTTTGTCTCTTGTTTTCCCGCTCCTCTTTTTGGGAAAGTAGCCGAGCCCGCCGCAAGTGTATAAATATGTATGAAACACACGGGACGCAAGACTTTGGTCTCCGTTGCGTCACGCCGGGACTACGAGGATCCGCGGGGTTTTCCGGTGCCTCCTTCTATCGGTAGGAGCTAAACATCAAATCTCGACCAATTCCTTTGTTCCCCTTATACAGAAGATCCAGGGTATATAGACGTTTCCAAACATCATTTTTTTTTTTTTTTCTACGTGTTTGTCGACAATTCAATTAGTCGGTTCGCCTACCGTTGATTGGATCCCACGGATCACTCCCGAACAAGAGTCCCGTTTTCTCGGTTCGCTCTCGAGTTTGTTCAAAAAACAAGCTTGGCTTCATCTTGAATCACCAATCGGACTTTTTTTTTTTTCGTTGTAAAAAGAAAGAATCAGAAATACTCGCAACAAGTTGATCCACGCAAATGCACTTTATTCGAATAATTTCACCCAAGAGCCACTCGCAGCAGTACAAGGAAGACGACAGAGATAAACGTACAGGTATATACATATACGTAAAATAACAACGGCAATTGTTAACGCTTGGATAATGGAATGTAATTAAGTCGAATCAAAAGGATTTCTCTCCCTTCCCTGAATTATTGTTCTCTTCTCCTCTCGAGTATTCCTCATCCGTACCCTCCCCACAATTTTCAACACATATATATGTAGGTGCGACTTGTACCAGCTTGTTTTTTCCGTATTGGCCCGCGTGCATGTGCACGACGAAAGAATAAAAGTCATGCAAAAAGTAGTCCTTTCTCCCAAAGCAGAAGCGACACAACACGCCAAGAGTCTCCGCCAGAGTCCGTGCAGCGCCTCCATCCTTCAGGATCATTATATCGCCAATTAGAAGATAGGCGACGCCTAACAAGCTTCCTGGGGAGACAGCCGAGCTTCGGGGAGAGAGAGCTTCAGCTCACGCCTCTCTCCGCTACGACTGTCTGTGTGTGTACGTAAGTCTAACAAGATGTCTTGGGTGAGCCAGGTATATATATGCGTTTGCGCCGCGAGAGTCCATCAATTAAAATGCCACCGGCGTCTCCCGCGCGGGGTCATTATATCGGGGCAGATTTATTGCGAGCTTCGTATATACGCACCAGAAACTCGTGTACTATTGGCTCTTTTTTTCATCCCCCACCCCCTACCTCAAAGTTTTCCCTTTGTTTTTTTGTTTTTCCTGAGGAACGTACAGTTCAGACGCTTCGGAGGTATAATTAGGACGGATGTATCGCGTGCCGTGTACATTAACAAAAAAAAAAAAAAAAACAAAGATGCGCAGGTATGGTAGGCCCTTTTTTTCTTGTTTTTACTTCATGTTCACCCTGTGGACTTAATTAGAGCTCTATTTCGCGTGCGGCATTGTTCGTTAAAAATTTTCCAAAAAAAAAAGAATAAGCACGCGTTCGTTAATTAAAAGAAAAACAGAGTGTATGGCGGGGGAGTCGACAATTACACGGCAGCGTCTCGATCGCGTGTATCCATTCCGGGGCCCTTTGCTTTTCGTTTGGCGGAAACCGCGCTTTCTGTTAGGTATACTACACAGTTTATATGTACGCAGAAATTTTGGAAATCAGCGCGTGTTGCCGTGCACTGCTGCAGTACATCGCACACGCCGCAGCGGTCGCTCACCGAAGGGCTCGGCGTGTACGTGCGCACACCCTCTCTCTGGTAGTTACAAGCTCCGGTCTCAATTAGTTGAACTTACGTCGCCGGGGTCCAATTAGACGCGGGCCAGGAGCCACTGCACACCCTGTTTGCTCAAGTCTGTACGGTACCTGTAGTGTATGTATGTATATACATGGTGTGTACACATAGCAGTAGTGAGACAAAGAGGGACGGATAGATAGCCCCACGGTGAGCTGAGGGAGAGAGTGCAGCAGCTACCCCCCCCCTTCTGCTGCAGCTCTCTGCTGTACCTCCCAGGGGTTGGAAGTGTCTTTTTCCTCCGCTAATGACTAATTAGCAGGCTCTCCACTTCAGGTCTATAATGACACGCGCGCCCTCGCACGTATACATATATGTACGTGTATGCGTCTGTGTGTTTCGAGTACGCGAGGAGAGTACGTACAGTCGAAAAGCTCGGCATGTATGCATAAGTACGGGTGCGACAACTCGGCGCTTTTTACAAACGAGACCTGTGCTTTTTTTTTTTTCTTCTTTCAAATGCTAGATCATCATTAAATTGGTGAGATGGTGCGCTGGAATTGGAGCTTTACGCCGTGTAATTGTTTCCCCCCTATCCCTTTTATCCTTGAAACCTTTTCTTTTTTCTTTTTTTTTTTTTTTTTTTTTTTTTCTTTACGTCAAAGCGAGTTGAGTGCGGTGGAAAAGAAAAGTATATAATAAAAATCGATGCTTGTTTTTTCGAGTAGTATAGAAGCTCCTCGAGAATACAAAGTATCAAAAATCACAATACCGCGCGTGGGTAGCCCGCACTTTTGTGTGGAAAAACAAAACTTTGGACGTCAAATAACAAAGTCGCTCCATCGCTCCTTTTGATACGTTACTCAACTTTCGAGCGATGTTGCTTCAGAAAACAGTAAAAACTCCGCAATGGGTAGAAAAAAAAAAAAAATTACAAAAAGTCTATAAAATGTCTCGCATCTACATACAAATCGCCTACATGGTATAGTCACCAATGGGATAGGGTAGCCACGGTGTATTACCGTGTGTATGCCACCCTGCACTCTCCACGCATAAAAAAAAAAAAGGAAAAATCTCGCCTCGGCGTAGCCATGCAACAGCAAGGCACTTTGAAACATCTCAGAGTTAGAGAGCGTCCAGTGTCCACCATCCCACCCCCCAGCCGTGTGCACAATACTCGAGACGCGACGGAAGGAGCCGCGCGCGCGCCTGACAGCCATCAGCCCCCTTTAGCCGTATAATGTTATGGAAGCAGCCTCGCGCGCTTATTTATTTTCGCTCTCCCGAAACGCAGGACCGTCCGTCCCCACTGGCTACTTTATACCTTGACGTTTTTATTAAACTACGTCCGGCTGCTCCTCCACCCCAACCGTCCTACTCCCCTCTCCGAAATAAATATGGGAAAAGAAAAAGAGTGACTGGCCGGAGCCACGCTTGCCCCGAGGACACTTTCGTCATTTCTATTGGAAGCAAGGCGCTTTTCCTCCACACCACCCCGCACTCTGCGTTTCTTTTCAATTGTGCGCGCGAGACGCGGAAGCCAGTATCCATCAAGCCTTCCCGTGCTCCAGTTATACCCACCCGGACCAAGTCCTTTTTTATTCGTATATATACATGAAAAAAAAATCAAGCCTAAAATTTATATACCTACATCCATGTAACTCGAGATAGTTAAACTCCGGTCTATACCACGCGACGTCCCTGGCGGGGTTGTCGAGGGAAAGCTCGGGTCTAAATACGACAACTTTGTACGAGCACAGAAATTTCTGAATCAATCCCTCGAGCGACCGCTGGCGGTCCAAGCGATTAGCGCCCAATTATACATCAACGGTACGGCGTGTACACGCAGCTTCGTCCTCTCTCTCTCTCTCTCTCTCGAGTGACTGACTCTCGATAAGCTGTACTCGTCCTTTCTCTGCGGGAAAAGCTTCCGCCGTGGCTCTCGGGAACAAAGCGGAAGCTACACGCCGCCTGTGCAGTGCTCACTTTCGCGAGCCCGACTCGTATATTCATACATGTATGAGCTTACACATGTACACGTATGTCCGATTGATAAAGCTCCCGATGCAGCGTTTATCGCTCGCCTGCAGTCTCGGTCGGTTTCGTTTGAGTGCCGCGAGGACATATACACAAAAGCGACGATAAGAGAGGAACAAACGATACTATATGCCGCTTCCTTCTGTCAACGGGGGAAAAAAAAAAGTAAAGAGGAGCGTGGGTGACTTTTTTTTTTTTTACGCACGTATATATACGTGAAAAACAAAGGGGGAACAGGAAAATGAGAGAAAGGCGGGGCGCGGGGGGCGTTTATGATTTTCGCGAGAGAGTCTGCCGCTGCATAATACGAGCCAAGGGGGGTCGCTTGCTTGCGCTCGGCTCGAGAAAGAGAGAGGGCCAATTAGTAGCATAAAGCCAAGCTTCGTCGTCGCCGGGAAACAAGCGCTCGAGGATAGAGATGGTTGTGTACGTGTAATGGATTGTTACTAGAAGTATTCGGCTAATTAATTAAGCCACCGCGCGCTCATATTCTCTTCTCTTACTCCTCCTCGCCTTTGTCGCGTTCAAAATTAACGAGCTTGTAATTAAAAATAATTGGCATATCGAAGGAATCGCTGCAGCTATGGATCCGAGATGTGGGGATGCGAGTCGTTTCATCCGAATGGGCATTGTTTTTCATTTGCCTGTATAGCTTTTGTCGCAGATCAAGGAACATGCGTTGGTTATTGAAGCATCTTTGCATATTGTTGTTTTGCAGACGGTGGCTTGGACCAGATCACGATGACGATGGATGTGAGCAAGTCGGAGACTAACAAAAATGGCTCCACTCAGCAGGAGTGCCATGGCTGCAACAAGACCATCAAGGAGAGGTGAGCTCGCAAAATCATAGCAGTGCGGCCCGTACTTTTGTTTCAATCAGCAAAATAAAAAATAAAAATAAAAAACCCTTGGTTCTGTCCGTCTGTCGAAAGGTATCTCCTGAAGGCACTGGACGCTTACTGGCACGAGGATTGTTTAAAGTGCAGCTGCTGCGATTGCCGGCTAGGCGAGGTCGGCTCGACCCTCTACTTCAAGGCGAACCTCATACTGTGCAGGAGGGACTACCTGAGGCTATTCGGCAACACGGGCCACTGTTCGGCCTGCAACAAGCCCATACCGGCCTTCGAGATGGTCATGCGCGCCAAGACGAACGTCTATCACCTCGAGTGCTTTGCCTGCCAGCAGTGCTACCACCGGTAAATTTTTTTTTCCTTTTAACGAGCCCAATGCGAGAATAAATTGTCAGTCTCGTGCAGGGTGTCCCGATAATTGTGTAACGATCCGAGCGAAGGAGAATCTACCATAACGGTATACGGTGTGTACATGAGATACACGTAAGAAAAAACGGGGGATGGAAAGACAGACGAGGTTCTCGCGGCGTATATGGAAGGACAGGAGGCGCGGGGGGGGGAGGGGGGTGACGCTGAAGCGAGGGGTGATTTCCCAACTGGCCTGTAAAGCGCACCCCCTGCCCACTTGCTCGCGCGGCCGGACGCTCTTCGTCGCGTGTACAGTGTCGATGAAAAAATAAAATTACCAACACGTGTATATAGAAAAGACGGAAGACGATCAAAACGTATACGTGTGTTGGCGCATGTTTTCAATTTTCCTCGGGACGCCGTCTTCCGAGCCAAAGTAGTCGTCTCTCTTTTTCTTTTTTTTTCCCTCATTTCGGGGTATGAGCTACGGGCCGGCGCGCGGGAATACAAATGCGAGAATTAGAATACATTAATTTTTGCCCGGACGCGCTTCCACGCAGCCATTAATACGATTTATATACATATACATACCTGTAGCGGGGGTATAGGGTGTGCGCGATGAAATTGAATTTTGATGGATGGCTGTTGGAGCGCGATGCTCGCCTCTCATTTTTAATAGAGGGACTTGTCGATCCTCCTTCTCCTCCTCCTGCTACGTTTAACCAACTGAGCGAGTAATTTTTTCCACCCTTGGGATTGTGATTTAGATGATGAGCCAAGCTACGGTTTTTCCGACAAAAATAGTACACCCGCACACCTTTTCAAATGCCAAATCTCAACGGGGACTGATATCCATTACAGAACTGTGCACCGCGCGCTTTTGTGCGGATTATCGGGGCAACCGTCCGCGACGAAACATATCGGCAGAGCGAGGAAAAAAAAAAAAAGGGGAGCAACAAGAGCTCAAATGGCTCGTCCGGCGCAAAAATAATCGGCAGAGCGCAGCCTCGGTGCAGCTATATATGGCGCGACAATGGCATTATATTGTCGGGGAGCCACTCGCTTCCGTCTCTCCGACAGAGAGTATCGTATCGGGATGTGTGACGACACGGGGGTAGGGGTGGGGAGAAAAATCGGCTGGAGCCAATAGTAATGGCTCGGTCGGGCGTGGACTGTGTTGTTGTGGGGTCAAACAGAGCCCGAACAAAAGAGCATCAATTTTACCCGTTTTTATCGCCCACCCGGGCCATTGTCTCAGCACCCGGTGTTGCGCTGCTGCTTTTTCCGACCTTCGACAATGCCCTTCTTTACGGCTCGGATACCGCGTTTGTTGCCGAGGGATCGTACACCCGTTTCCGGCACTCGCGGCAAACCACGACGCTTTTGTACCCCGTATCTCTTTTCTATACACGATCGTCCCCAATCGATGCGATAGTTTTTTTTTTTTTTTTTTTTTTTTTTTTTTTCGACAAATTATTTGGCTCTCCCCCGAGAATTTCAGTAGTAATAGTCAACGTACGGTCAGACTTTGCCCGTGGCGTATTTAAATGCAAAAAAAAACTCTGTACTCGGGAGCCAATGGAGCGTGAATAATTTCATCAGTATAGAGGAGACGAAAGAGGCGAGAAAAAAAAAAGGGGTGCATCCCGCAGTTAATCGAGAATCCTAGTCCCCTCTGGTCCGAGGGAAAAAGGAAGGTTCGGCTCGTAAAAATCCCGGGCCCTCCTCAATATTTGATCCTCGCGCGGGCAGGGGAGTAGTGCTCAAAACGGCCCCTAATGGGGTCGCGCGCTATAAGGTATCGACGCGACGCCAAGCAACGGCATTTATTTATTCAAAGCCGGGAGGTGGCGCGCGACCCTCGTTAAAGATTTAGCAAAAGTCATCCGACGCGCCGGCAGTCCAGATTGAAATTTCCCATGCAAGGACGTCCTCCTCCTCTCTGCGGATTTTTAATATTTCACACTCCGAGCGCCTCCGCAGTCGCGGACGCCCCGTGGCTTTGACTTACATCGGCCAAGAGGAATACATTTTCGCTCGCCATCCACACGGATGAATCCTTTACGGAACGGGGTGAAGGTCGGTTTAATTTAAGTTGGGGGGAAAAAAATTCCCCCCCCCCTTCAGTTGATAATGCGAAAGGTTCATCCCGAAAGAAGTACAATACAGTCGAGTGGCCGCGGAAAAAAGAGAAATCACGGTACACGAGCGAGTTTCTTTCTTTTTCTTCCGAATCAGGTCGAGCGAGGAAGTCCCTTCTTTTCTCAAGGGCTGGTCGTTTAGCCTTTAATTGGATGCCCGTTAAATTAGACCGGCCGTCTTTTTAGCAGAGAGACGGCTAATTGGATCGGTAAATCATCCCGCGAGCCAAGGGAGGGGCAACCGGAGCCCTCGCTACCACTTCCACCGAGAGTAGGGGGGCGGCGTCTTCAACCCTTCATTCCGCGTTATTACGGTCTAAAGTTACCCCCGTGTAATTGTTGCTGTTTAATTGCGAGTTCCAAGTCGCGGGCGCGCTCTCGCGTTTCAGGCCGGATACGGGAGACGCTCGTCCTCCACCGATGTAATTTCGTCCCCCCCCCCTCCCAACCCCTCGAGGAGCATTGGCGTCGTCGCGCACTGCAGTCTGTCATTTTCATCGCAGGGGCGGGGATCGATCGACGTTTCGTTAACCGATCGAGCCGTAATTTCTTTTTTTTTTTTTTTTTTTTTTTTCATTTTTTCCACGGTACGTGCTCCGAAATCTCGACTCGTCTAATTTTTCCTCTTCAATTACAAAGGGCTTTTTTCGCAGCAATCGCAGGCTCTCATTATACACTCACCCCCTCCCCGCTCTAATGCCGGATAACAAAGGAAAAATAGAGCCCGCGTGGGGGAGCAGCTGTCATTTACGCGCAATCGGCATGCAGCAGTCGGCCACACACGTACATAAATATGTGTACCCACGCCAGCAGTGCCAAAGCGTCACGAGAGCTGTCTCGCATAATGGGCCGACGCGATAATTCTATATTTGCCGGGCGATTATGAATATCAGACGGCTGCACGTTTCCCCGTCCTCTCCCCCAACCTCGAGTGTTGGTCGGCGCCGAGCTCGTGCTGGTGCGCGATAATTACTCGACCGACGTATTATTTCGCGGGAGGAGGCTGCACCGCCGCTCGACGCACAATGATTAATTATATAATAAAGCGAGCGCGGGCGTAGGGAAAACGCGGTCGCGGCGGGGGCCGCTAATCGCCGAGGTGAAATTAGTGTACAGGCCCCCCCCGGCAAAGGATACACGCGGAAATGCGTTTTCGCCATCGATGGGTATAAATTAATACACAGTCATGTGGGCACTTTTCGGGCAGATCGCGCCGAGATTGATCGCGACCCCTCGGACCTGATGATGGGTAATTGTTGTTTTTTTTTTTTGCAGGTTTTGCGTGGGCGATCGTTTCTACCTGTGCGAGAACAAGATACTCTGCGAGTACGATTACGAGGAGCGCCAGGTGTTTGCCAACATGGCCCTGCACCCGCAAGCCACGCTGGCCCACCTGAAGCGACAGCTGCCCCCGACGCCACCGGGCCAGGGGGTGCCCCAGATGCCCGGGCACAACCCCATGCAGCAGCAGCCACCACCGAGCCAGCCCAACCAGCAGCAGGGCCAGCAGATGATGGGGCAGCACAACCACGTGGCGAACGTGAGTCACTCTCGGATATTGTTTGTTTGTTGTTAAGTGGTATATATGGGGTTGAAAAAACGATGAGAGCTCTTTGTCGATTGGTGCAGGGTCAGATGCCGGGCGGCGGAGGGCAGGTGAACGGGACGGCGATGGGAGGCATGGGGCCGACGCGCCCGGGCGACATGAACAACAACGGGTTGTCGGGCCCCGGGCTGGGGTCCGTGAAGGCGGCGCCCATATCGATGCAGGCGCCGACGAGCTGAGACGAGGCCGCACCGCCGCTGCTCAAGAAACTCCGGTGCCTCGACAGCTACTGAGGCCGCCGTGGCTAATGGCGCCCCTCCCCCCTTTTCGGGGGTGCAGGAGGAAACACACAGCGATGACACGCGGCCCAGGCGATGGTGATCCAAGTTGACTGTGTCCTTTGTTTGCCGGGAACACTCGAATCTCGGCTCGTTCGCGGAACCGGGGTCGACGCTAAGGATGGGGAGGCCCGGACGCGGTGCGTGATACATACACATATATACATGTTACGAGGAAGGGGTCGTGAATGTACATACAGGACTCTGCGGCGCTTCCTCCGAGAAGGGGGAAAAGTGCGCGCGACGAGACCCCTGCGTTGTTTTTTTTTTTTTTTTTTTGTCTTTTGCATTTTTGTTATTACCCACGGCTAACTCGCTCTGTGGTTTCAATATTATTACTATTATTACTTATTATTATTATTATTATTATTACTATTATTAATCATTAAGGTTATCGCTTTATATTATTATTATTATTATTATTATTCATTTTTAAATTTATACATTGCAAGTATAACGTCCAACTACATTGTAATCGTCGTTATTGGTTTTCTTCCCTCTGTTTGCTATAACGATATGTGTGAAAATAAAATGGAAAGGAAAAAAAAAAAATGCGAGAAGTGCGCCGATCGACGTACCACAATAAGCGTGCCATGCTCCGACGGATTTCAAGCATCTATGTACAGTTGGTGAAATTTGATGACGTTTGAGTGAAAATCGATTGTTGTTGCGTATGATGAGAGAGTAGATGGATGGCCGTCAGAGATGATGGTGTGAAATCAAGAGTCTGAAGGTGGATTGGAGAAATTGGTTTCCATACAGCTGGTACCAAAGATTATGAAGTAAGAAATATATTTGCCCTCGATACGCGCTGTCATTATTTTTGGTATGCCGTTCGTACGAAATTCGCTCTTCAAAATTGTAGCACTTTGAACCGCATCTACACGGTACTCTGTATAGAAACAAAAAAAAATATATACACATATTATTGTAATACACGTTTCGTTTGTTTTTTTCACGTTGTCATTCATATGTTAACAGACATTGAGTATATGAATTGAAGTTTTGTTCCTTTGCTTGACGTATACCGGGGCTTAGTCATAGCTTTACAATAAAACCAAAAGAGAAACTACTTGTACCAAAAGACCATAAGTAACAGTTATCGAGTGACGAAAGTTGAACGAAAAATCAATAAATATCCGAGAGTGTAAGTATATGCAAATTTGAAGCAAATAATAGTTGTCAAGTAGCACACAGAAAGAAATTAAAAGTGCGAAAGAGAGAGAGAGAGAAAACAAAAAACAAAAAAAATTATTACAGTATGAATAACTATCTCATTTTCGGAGAAAAAAATGCAATGAGAGAATGAATGCTTGCGTGTGCGTGGAAAAAAAAGGTATCGAACGATTTGGAATTAAGAAAACAAAAACAAAAAAAAGAAAATTGTATATTTCGTAAAGCTGTGTAATTTAGTGCAAAGGCATTACGACAAATGTATAAATAAATAAATAAAAAAAAAGAAAAGTAACAGACAAATATCGCCGCATTCTTCGGCTCTGTATAAGAACAATATCCTTTATTATCCTTTTTTTTTCTTTTGTCAAATCATCTGTATATATTGTCATAACTAGCGCACTACTGTTAGAATATTATGATTGATAGGGTTCCATTACTATACGAAGAAAAAAAATACATTCTTATTAATACCTAAAAAAAAAGTTGTCTACTTCTCTTGCCTTTACGACCTCTCCATTCCCTTAAAAAATACCCATTTAGTTGTGCGCTTCATCTGATTTAGTTGAAAAAAAAGCCTCACGCCATTACCAATTAAATACCGAGTAAGAAACACAGCTGAAAAATAAGCTTGTCTCGGGGTGCACGGAGCCAGGTAAGTATGCTCGCCTACCACTCGATTGAATTTTTTTAATTAAAAGCTCGAAGCGACTTCCTCTTCATAGCGCGTCGTGATCTAACCAGCTCTGCTTGGCTTAATTTTCCCGGTTACTCATTTGAATGCATATTACTCGCGGAGGGGAAAAAAAAAAACATCGAGACAAAAATACGAAAACAGTGTAGCATACAGCTGCAGGAGAAGTCGATTCTCCCATAGAAGCTCCGTTTCCGGTTGTAAAAAGCGCACGGGGAAACCGATCGGTAGCGCGTCGGGGCGAGAGTAGTTTTAAGGAGAGTTCCAGAGCCATTATAAAGTCTTCACCAAATATAATAACATCCGACATTAGGGAAATGGCCCCTCTCCCTTTTTCTTCCAACTCCAGCCGCGCCGAATCGGCCAAGTTGCCAAAGTGTATAATATAAGCGAAAGACAAGAGGGCACCCTCGATACGCTCTCCCCTGCTATCCAGCCCAGCGGTGTATCGACTCGTAAGGGCTGCACGGACGCGACTAAACGATTTCGCTAGATTGCTTTTTTACTCCGCCTATACCTACACAGCTATACCACCGCTCCTTTTTTTTTTGTTTGATTTCAGTCCCCCAACACGGCGTTATTTGAAATAGTTTCTCCTTTGACGGAGTTTTCGGAAGTTTCAACGTGTTGTGTCGATATCGCTACTGAATAAAGAAAAAAAAAAAAAAAAAGTCTTATGCAAACGAGACTGCATTCAATAACTTTGTCGTTGCTGGTTTATTGCATTAATTTCACAACCATTTGTGGAGCACAACGCTATTTTTTTACACGCATCGGAGCTTCGCTCGGAGTTGGAATAGAAAAACCAAATCTTGAAAAAATACGAAGATTCTGTTCTTCCACCCAAGCTAACGAACACCGAACAACACGATGGTTTTCACGTGTGATTCATGTATGCGCCACGGGGCATAACATCGGTGCGAAAACTTTGCCAATAAAATATTGTTCTCACACGCGAAAGGGGAAAGGTATGAAATTTAAAAAAATTCTCCGCCCCGCTAAGCGAGAAACAAATGACAAGAGGGAGGTTGGCTTCCTTAAATGCCGTTCTCTCGTACTCTTCCGAACTTTCGGCGCTTGCCTCCGCGGATCGTACACGTATATATACGGAGCACATCGAGAGAAAGAGAGGGAAAATTTATTGGGTCTGTTATTGGGTTTCTTTCGATTACACGCTCGACTCGCGCATGAAATTTCGTTTACTCCCTGCACACGTGTACACGTGTATATATATATATATATATATATGTGCGCTCTTTGAGCCCCACCCACGACGGTCTCCGTAATAGCGCTGAAAGAAGAAAAAAAGACGATATGGCTGTACAGAGTTTTCCTTTGGCTGTCGTAAATCAACGAATCGGGAGCAACACCTGCAACAATCGGCAGGTACGGCAAGAAACGCGCCAAAATTGAACCAAAGCAAGACAGCCGGCACCCCTAAACAAAAAGACACAATCCCAAAAGTCGAGGTCACGAAAGTTACAAAACACACGGAGCAAAGATGAAGGAAAACACGAGACGAGATAACATTTCCATCATCGTCGAGCCGCATGCATCTCCAAAAACCAGAGAAAGAGAGACGGACGTGGGGGGGGGGGGGCAAAAGACACTCGCAAGCGTGCGCGATAAGGAAAGTTAATTCTCCGTCCATACGCGAGAAGCGAAATTGGATCCCCGAGCGGTGTGTGACGCGTGTGTACCTACAAGGGGTGCGGGGGTCTGAAAAATATCCCATTAATCATCGTACCTACCTCGTGCACACACACTCGTATATGGAGAGATGGTAGGCTGATTATGTCGCGTGCGCGCGCTCACATAATATATACATGTATATATGCATCCGCAGAGTGTGTGTGTGGGGGGGGGGGGCAAGTGAAAAGGCCGCTTAAAATAATCTACCGCGAAATGAAATCAACGCAGCTCGAGCCACCCCTCGCCCCTTGCTTGCGCCCCGGACAAATGACGGAGAGAATCCTCATCCCCCCCCCTCGCTCGGCGACGCTGGAATTAAAGATCTCGAGATACCGGGGCTGCGGTGTCGTTTTCCTCGGCGTCGCAGGATTAATCGTACCCGTGCGTGTATACGTTGGCTTGAGAAATGACGGTAGCGAAACATCAGCGATTATCATCGATGGAAAATAAATGTACACCCCGTGCGACAAAAGAACAAACCTTCCGAGCGCGCGGGCAAACTCAAAGGGAAGCTTCTTGGCGGGGGAAAGAGAGAGGTCCAAAGGGCTCGCCGGCCCGTGGCGACGTTATGGGCCGCACATCCTTCGCCACGGGTGTATTTCAAGTTTTATGGCTTCGGTGAAACGCGCCTTTCGCGCTCTTCCCTCTCGAGTGTATACGCGGAGGACAAAGTTGCTCGGAGCCCCGCGGAAAAAAGTCAACGCCGAGCGTAACGTACACCGTGGGATACAAGTTTGAAGTTGCAGTAACGGATACGAGAATTCGGCATTTATCCGTTGAGTACAGCACAGCCCCCGACACGCGCCGAAGATCGAGACGTCGAGCACTTGGTCGGGGGAGCTTTTATCGCCTATGCGTGTACAAAAAAATCGTGTTGATTTGAAGTTTCGAGCGCGTGCGAAGCGTCCGAGGGCTTCAGTAAACGCGAAGCGTCGAGGCGGGCGTGAAGTATTCGCAAGCGTACGAGAGCACAGTCGTCTTTGTTAACCTGCCGGTTTTTTCATTATGTACGAGTTTTAGTGTGAAAAGTATGATTGACGTGCTCGTGTGTAATGTCTAGCAGGATTTTTTTTTTTTTTTTTTTTTGCTAAAAAAGTAGTCGCTTTTATAAGAGTTACTTAAATAATCTTGTTGACAATAATCTTTCTGTTTTGGATTCAAGTTTTTGAAAAATATAGTTGGAGCCTAGCGACGAACTGATCCTTTTGTATTTTTCGAGCGCAGAATTTTTACTCTCCGAAAAATAAAAGTTAAAACTGTAATATAAGGGGGGTCGAGTCGCATAAGAACGTATATCTCGTACCTCTTGATTACCCCAAAATAATATATACTCGATGTGTTATCTATGAAACTCTGTGTATGACATCAATTTCGTCGTTGCACACGTCCCACGTAACATCATGTTGTGGGTATCGGGAGGAAACTTGTTAAAATTACACAACATTTTTATAAACGTGGTCTTACTTCTAATCTATAGCACATTCGTGCTATCGTCATCGACTGTATACACTCTTTTTTTTCTCATTTTTCTTTAAAATTGAGAATGTAATGTTATAGGCAAATATTGCTGTTGATATGAATTCCAACTTTTTCTACTCCTTCGAGTCGCCAAAAAGGTCTTATTTAAACTTTTTGTTAACTACCGTATAATGTACTAAACGTAAAATAATCGACAAAAAAAATTGTATTTACGAAAATTTCAGAATATCAAACACATTTTTGGCTCAAACACGTTGTATTTCGTACTCGGTTCGAGTATTTTCACGCGATATCTCCCCGTTTATCATCGAGTTGATAGCAATAGTCTTCAAATGTCGCGTCTTGAACGA